AAAAAATGGCTGCAGACCATCACACACTGGCGTCGAGATGATTGATTAGCAAGGCGTTTAAAAGAGACCGCCGTCGTTTTCGACTTCCATCTTCTCCTTCATAGATCCCATATTCCACTTCCACAACGGGCCTCGCTCCACAACTCATTTGATCAAATATGCAAAATGACAATGAATCTTCCGCTAGAACATGGAAAGACGCACCGCCATATTTTGTGTTTTCTGCATGTGGTGAGTACTGGAGTGAGGCCCATTACCTATACATGCGATGCGCGCTCGATCCGCTCCACAACATTCTCAATGTTGTATATGGATCTCGGAAATGTTTCTCGATGTATATGAATCTCGGATATGCATATAGATCTCTAAATGACGATGATCTCGATATATTCGATATCTTGGGTCAGTGCGAACGCAACTGTACCAAACTGCTGTCCATTATAATGTTGCATATAAATCTCTAAATGACGATGATCCCGATATATTCGATATCTTGCGTCGATTCACTATACAACATTCTAAATGTACGTAGAATGTTGTATAGTGAATCGAGGCCCAAGCTCGAGTGGACTGCGACTGCGATACGCAACACCATGTATATAGATCTCTTAATGACGAACCCATTATATTCGAAATGTCGGGACAGTCCGAACGCATCTGTACCAAACTGCTCTCCATATATATACATACAATTAAAATGTTGTATAATGAATCGAGGTCCAAGCTCAAGTGGACTGCGCTACACAACACCCTTGATGTATATACATCTCTTAATGACGACAACAATATATTCGAATGTCGGGTCAGTCCGAACGCATCTGTACCGAACTGCTGTCTATATACATACAAACTCCTGTCCAAGCAACCTCGAATGCAATGTGCGCCGATCTTGGTGACGGGCGAGGGGGACCCGTTGAGCACACCTGCTTGTCTTCTTTCTGTTTTTTTCATTTTTTTTCCCGTTTAGTCAAAATGTTGTTGTTACAGAACACACTCGTTTTTCCTTCCATTTTTTTTGTCGCTTGGTCGACGAAGTTCCGCTTCGGCGCCCAGCAGTTGCACAACTCGTCATCTGTGGACAGCGTGTACGTCCAGATCCATTCAAGATCATCACGTTCCATGCCACATGACACAATCGTTTTCCCTTCTATCTTTTTTTTCTCGTTCGGCCAATGAAGTTCCGCCTCGGGCCTAGTTACACAACTCACCATCCGCCAGCATTCTGAAGGCACATGCACAGTCGGTCTGTCCAGATACATTCATTATCTTGGCGAATGGCGACTGGTTCGTTCAACTATGCCCTCAAAGATAAACAAGTCCCATGCCGCGTGACACAAATTCTCAACTCACGCAAGACGTGTCCACAAGTCGCAGTTAGCGATCAGAGACTCAGGATTGCAGCTTAGGTATTTTAGCGCTATATCTACGTGTATAATACATATCGTCACACCGTACATATACATACATAAATATATATCTATATGGTCACAAAAATATCAGAGCGCAAAAGCGAAAAACAAAACAGAGAAAACAAGGAAAAAATGAATTCGTTTTTTTTAGCTTCTTCCTTACAACTCCTGTTCAGAACCTCTTGCGTACAAGGCCGCCGACGTGGATGTAGGTTGAGCCGCGGCTGCCCACACCCCCGTGTGTCATATCGACCCACTTGCGCACAGCCAAAAGGCAACATATATATACTGTCACAAGAATATCAGAACGCAAAAGCGAAAAAAAAGAACGAGGAAGAAAACAAGGAAAAAATGAATTCATTTTTTTATTCTTCCTCCTTACAACTCCCCCTGTTAAGAACCTATATATATCGTCACAGAGATGTCAGAGCGCAAAAGCGAAAAGAACAAGAAAAAATCAATTCATTTTTCATCTTCTTACTTACAACTCCGCCTGTTCAAAACCTCTTGCATACAAGGCCGCCCACGTGGATGTAGGTTGAGCGGCGACTACCCCCACCTCCCGTGTGTATTATATCGTCAAACGGAACTGCCCGGTAAACCATAGGGAGAGAGGAAGACATCACCATCATCATCATCATCATAATCATCATGCTCACAGGATTTAAGCTCGGGTCTTTTATCATCAAACGAGGGGCTGTGACAGACACTTTCGTCGGAGTTTCACCGACTCATCATCATCATGCTCTCAGGATTTCAGCTTGGGTCTTTTGACGCTATATTCACATGTGCGTATATATAGAGGAAAACAGATATGTATATATATTGTCACATGAATATCAGAGCGCAAAGGCGAAAAAAACAGAAGAAAGAAGAAAAAAATAATTCGTTTTTTTATCTTCTTTCTTACAACTCCCCCTGGTCAGAACCTCTTGCGTACAAGGCCGCCCACGTGGATGTAGGTTGAGCGGCGGCTGCCCCCACCCCCGCGTGTCATATCAAACCACTTGCACACAGCCAAATACAACAAAACAGGGGGCAACAAGCAATAGCACCAAAACCGGATCCTACATGACAAGTCCCACATGCAAGCACCGCCCCTCCTTCCCAGGCCAAACGACAGGACAATATCGTCACAAAGTTATCAGAGCGCAAAGCGAAAAACAGAAAGTCCAACAGAACTGCCCGCTAAACCGTAGGCAGAGAGGGACAAGGGGACAACAAGCGAGGGATTGTGACGCACTCTTTCGTCGGAATTTCACCGACGAATTTTCATCATATATATATATAGAGTCGATGAAACTCCCACGAAACAGTCTGCCGCAGCCCCTCGTTTGTTGTCCTCTTCTCCCTCCCTCTCTGCCAGCCTACGGTTTACCGGGCAGCTCTGTTTGACTATCCATCGTCACAGCAATATATGTCTATTCGTATATATTAACCAGGGCTATACTTATTAACTTATATGTAATCATAGAGAACTGTCCAATGAGCCGCAGGCAGAGAGGAGGACGAGGACAACGATATCCACTTCCTTCTCTTCCATCTGGAGCCGTCGAGCACATCGGAAACAGTCCCTCCCCGTCCTCGACCCGAACAAACGCGCGCGCTCATCAATGTCATCATTTTTCGTTTCTTTTCTTCACAACTGTACCAGACCCGAAAGATCGCTCACGAAATAGATTGCTGATCAGGGGGCGCTGTAATCGGTGGAAGGCGGCAGTGCGATTGTTTTACCCGCGCATAGACTGTGCTAGTCACATACCCGACGAAAAGACAACTTCGAGTGGACGGGGGAGTTATCTTCGGGGGATGCCCTGCACGATCCGCCATCCATCCGATGGTTAAATACTCGGGTCTCTTTTTTTTTTTTTTTTTTTTTTTTTCGGGTCTCATTTCAGACACGCCCCCGTAATCACTCTCCCCGAACTCTCCTTATCGCGATCGGGGTCCGCACTAATTATTGCGATCGCAGCCGAAAAAAACGGAAACGAGGAGCTACATGGTGCTCATGTACGAGCTTGAGGCAGCAGCTCCTGCAAAGGCATTCCGGCCAAACGGCTTCATAGCAGAGGAGGCCGGTCTAAAATCCCTCACCTCGCTGGTGCTACGTTCTCGTGCTTAGAAGTTAGAAAAGCATGAACGAGGTCGTATACTCGGCCAGGATCGCTCAAGCATAGCTCGACTTGAGGAGACGGCGGCAGGCTACACACAGAGAGGCGAAGGATTCCTCACTCCTCTGGTGCTATGTTTTTGTGCTTAGAAAAGCATGAACCAGGTCGTATACGCGGCCAGGTTCGCTCAAGCATAGCTCGACTCAAGGAGACGGCGGAATTTAGGGTCGAGATGAGGTATTTTGATGAAGAGAAACTGATGATACGTGTCTGTAAGTGCTACTTGTTCGCTTGCATGCACCTACTCAAAACACCAACGTATACACAATGGCACATGTCCACAGACGTAACAGGGAGGCGAAGGACGCAGCTGCCTGGAAACAATGAACGCCCATACAGAGATCCAGAAGAATGAACGTGCTCATCGAGTGAAAACGTCAAACGCGATGGGGCAAAATCAAAACGTGAAGACGAATGTATCAGACGACTTCACAGCCTGGTTGTCCATCTAGCGGCCTGGCTGACATGACAATAAATAAACAAAGAACCCTTTGGAAAACCGACAGCGCCGGTCAGATATAACCCCAGTGAGCCGTGGGAGTCTGACGACGAACCACCGTCTTGTAGTTTAGAATCTTACAGATCAACAAACCCAATCCCGCGATCAATAGGAAGATTGCGACGAACGTGCTCATCGAATCGAGACCCAGGGAGGGACGTTCAGGCACAATAGGGGCCTTTTCTGAATAAATACAGAAGGAAGGGGTGGAGGTAGAAAAAAGAATTGGGAGCTTAGGAGGGACGGCCTACGCGCGCGGCGAATCGGGGCGGGATGGACATAAGATAACATCGAGACGATGCAGACAGAGCTTGAAACGAGCGATACGGAAAGTAGATAGATGTTGGAATGAGGGATATAGAAGTAAACTACACCATAACTGCATATAAGAGGAAAGAACCGCACAGATCGAAGAACCCAATCCAGCAGACAGAGCGATCTTACAAAATGGATTAACAAAACACGCTTGGCATTATGGAAAAAGTACGCGAACAACGAAAGCCGGTGAAAAAAAATCCGTCGAGACGACATCAGCCGCAGACACCAACACATGCACAGTTTCCTTTCTCCACTGACCCTCCGCAATCATGCCGTTTCGAATTTCCCATCTAGGGCATCATTACAAAAAGGCGAAAAAAAAAAGAGATCTATAAAGCTCTGCAGAAACGAAAGAAAAGCGGAAGAGAGAGAGACAGAGAGAGAGAGAGAGAGAGAGAGAGAGAGAGAGAGAGAGCGGCAGAGAGACGCACAGACAGAGAAAGACGACATAACGAAAGAGAGAAACGAGAGAGAGAGAGAGAAGATTTAAACGAAAGGGTGTGAGCAACATGGATACGGGGAAAGACCCCTGTTTCGACCAATCAATGGTGATTGATGATCATCAATTTCAGTCCATCACAGGTCAGAGATGGGCAGACTCACCGGTCGATGAGTGTGACGGTATCTTTCAACCGGGCTAGCAACTTCGTCAAACTGTAACCCGCTTTTCCATGCCGCTGACTCTCCGTGAGGTACCCTTCCGCCTGCAGGGACTTGCCGAATCGTTCGTAGTACAGCTGCGGCAGAGAAGCAATGGACACAGGCGTTCTCCTTCCTTTCAAAAGCTCGTACAGCTCGCCTTCGAGTCGTTGTAAGGAACTGGAAGCAGTGGTCGAGCCCGTGGTTCCCGTATTCGTCGTTCCCGATCCCGACGAGACATCGCTCCCATCGCCGGAACCGCTGCCAGAACTTCCAGCTGACGTCGGACTCTGCGCATGCCGGCCACCATCGGCGCCGCCGACGCCGCCGACCGATGATAAATGTCCGCCGCTAGATGTACCTGACCCGTTTCTAGCGGAGCCATGCAGAAAACGACAACTCGTGCCATGCTTGCAATAGCCTTTGGCGAAATAGAGGCACGGCTTCCAGGCGAAGGCCTGAGACTGGGGAGTAGTGGCGTTGGGGCCGTTGCCATTGCCGGCATTCGGCATGCTGAGGCTGCTATCCATTGCCAAGCTCTGCTGCTGATGATGTTGGTGATGGGAAAAGGGATTCTGCTGCTGTAAAGGAGATGACATGGCCCCTCCGGAGGAGATCCTCCCTCCCCCTCCTCCTCCTCCCCCTCCCGACATACAAGAACTCGGATGATTCAATGCGGACGCGAATAACTCGTCCGCGTCGAAGAACAGATCGTCTCCTTGCAGCTGTGTCTGCTGCTGCTGCTGCTGATGCTGACGATGATGATTTTGTCCCATTGCGTGCGCAGATACCACTACATTTGTCATTTGCTGCTGCTGCTGCTGCTGCTGCTGCTGTTGATGGGCCATTGCCGCTGCTGCTGCTACCGTTAATTGCCGTTGTTGCAGTAATGTCAATTGCTGCTGCTGCTGTTGTGGCGGCTGCTGCTGGAGAGTGCTGGTCGTCTGTCCATGACTACTCGGCAGGATCAACTTCAGCGGATGGGATGACAAATTATTCGTTGACGTCAACATCGCTGTCGGGGAATGCACGACGGATAAACCCTTGTTGGAAATGGTTGGGAGCCGTACGAGCCTCGTAGTATTCTCCAGATGCCTTCCTCCTCCTCCTCCACCTCCTGCTCCTGCTGTTGCTCCTGATACTGCTGTTGATAAGTCCGGCCCTCCGCCAGATTCACTACCCAACCGACCTCGAAGATCCGCCGCCGACTGAATGCTCTGCCGGGCCTCCTGCTGCTGCTGCTGCTCCTCTGACGTCAGATCACTTTGGTGACTTCGTCTTTGATTGGAAATGGGTAAGGATGGATTACCAATGGATAAGCCTTGCGCCCGCAATTGCACAGTGGCTACATGCTGCTGCGACGCAGCTCCGCCACGCACAGGCTGGTGCTCCTGCTCTTCTTCTTCTACTTGATGTTGCTGCTGCTGCTGCTGCTGCTGCTGCTGCTGCTGCTGCTGCTGCTGCTGCTGCTGCTGTTGTTGTTGCTGCGGCTCCTCCCCACAACGTGCTATCCCTAACTCTTTCCTCGCCTTCACTACCAACGTTTGCAGCACAATCTCTGAGGCCAATGCCAATCTAAGCATCTCCTGCTCCGCCCTACTTTGCATCAATAACCACCCTATTATCTTAGATACATTCTCCGGGTCAAGAGCCTGTACACGGGAAAAAACCAGGCGCGTTGCCTCTTGCCAGTCCATATCCCGCTCCCTCGGTTCTCTTCCTCGCCTCTCTCCGCGCCGCTTACAAGATCAACACAAAACTCTTCTCCTTTTCACAACCTGTACAACATCACCATAAACCACCACTCTCACTTATTCTCTCCTCTTTCAATCAATACACAAAATCCTTCCCCAGTCTCATTCACTTATGTATATCCCACCCACAATCTCTCCATTCTCTCTCTCTCTCTCTCTCTCTCTCTCTCTCTCTCTCTCACACACACACACACACACACACACACACACAGACAAACAAGTTTTCACTTTCACCCTCGCAAATCAGATAACGTCCGTCAACAAAGGAAAAGAACCGGAAAATCAACCGAAGTAGAAAAGGAAATGGCACTTGGATTACTCAGCGGCGGGGGCGGTGAAGAAGCACACAGGGACAACCTCCACGACCTGCAGCGATCCTCCGACGGGATTCAGGACACCAGGCGGCAGCCGGGGGGAAAAAAAGAGAACAGAGTGGTAGGGTAGAGAAACACATCAGATGAGCCAACCAGCCTCGGCTTAAGCGTTGTTGCCAACTCGTTGGTGATTGAAAAGCGAGGGATGACCTCAAGTGAGGTGAGGACGATCGAAGTACAGGAAAGAGGCGGATCGCTTCCAGCGACTGGTGATTGGAAAGGCAGACTGGGAAGTGGCTGGAAAAGCAGAGGAAGGACGGCACTCATGAATCAGCAGAGAAAGAATGGACGGCGGAGACGACGACGGTGAGAGAGGAGGCACAGGAGGGGAGAGGAGGGCAGGGCACGGGAGGGGAGGCGACCAGACCTGTCCGCCTACGCGACGGCTGTTAATGAGGTTGTTGGTCCATCTGACGTGAGCTATTTTCACAAGGGCTGAGAGGAGACAAAAGGAGGAGAAGAGAACGGACGAGGGGCAGGCGAGAGGCGGGACGGGAGCGCATTTCCCACCAACTCCAGTTTTCCTATTATTTACTATTATTATTTCATCTTTGGACAGCTTCCGAGCGGTTTTTTTTCCCCCGTTTCTTCGCCATCTCAGACAGAAGAACCATGAGAAGGCGCGGGGCGGCACACTACAGGGTATGCTGCTGAGCCCGCGCTCCAGATCCGTCATATCACCGGGAGGAAACACGTAAGCATGGACACGTGCGGGGGTAGGCAATATAGAGTTGAAGGGGTGGTACGACGAGGAGGGAGGGCAGTGCGGGGTTGAAAGGTCAATTTGCTTGGCCTAGGGGGAAATTCAAAACCCACCCCGCTCTCGCTCTCTTGCTCCCTCTCGCCCCCTCTCGCTCCCTCTCTCGGGCTCCCTCTCCTGCTTCACCTCCTACGCCGCCGCCTCCACTGCCTCTCAGGGCTATGCTCATACTCCGCACTCCTACTACTCAAGCGACCTGTCGCGTGCTCAATGGGCATCATTACCCCTTCCTGTCTTTTACAGGCAAATTCTTTCATTCTCTCTCTCCCTCTGTGTCCTCCGCCGTCCCTCCCATCCCCCCCCTCCCCCTGCCGCTGGTTCCCACACGTCTTGGGAAATCGGACCTCTTCTCCCGCTCCCGCTCCCTCTCCCCTCTGCCCGCCGGACACTCTCACCGTACACGACCGATCCCAAAGATCCACACATGGTCACCTCGGCATTTCTGGACACGGAGAGCGCGCCGTGAAATCTCTTCCGATCAGGAACATCACTGTTCATCCACCTCTCCCTCCCTCCCTCCCTTTGTCTTTGTGTGTACGTGCGTATGCGTGTGTGAATATGTTTTGTCGTGTTGCAACTATCGTCGCCTTCCTCTACTCTACCCCGCGGACCCGGCCTCCGCACACTACCCCAAACCGCAATCCCCCCTCGGCCCCCCTCCTCCCTCGCTTTGTCGCCCATTCACCCACCTGCTATCGTGGAGTTTGATCAACAGAATTGGAGGGGTTTTCATTGGCACTGCGAGGGGCCGGCAGGGGGCCAAAGAGGTGCATGCAGCTCTACCACGACCCTACTACTACTGTTACTACTATACTACTGCTACTCGTGGGAGTCGAAGAAAGATTGAAATTGAAATTGCATGTGACAGTGAAACACATGATCTGCCGGGCCCTCCGATGTGGGGTCGGTGGGGAGGGCAAAAAACACGGTCGCCGGGCTGAGATGGGCAGCACTAATAACACGCGGGAGCATCCGCAGCAACCACCGCACTTCAGAGGAGCCCGCACACTGCCGTATGTTACGGTCAGAAACACAAAAAGCTGGCGGAGGAGCGCGCCATGCGGGCCTGCACTCGAACGCATGCAGCGTAAAGGATGGAGACCTACTGGACTACAGGCCATGTACTGCTGGCGACGCACCTGCTGCGGCTACTGCCGCTGCCGCTGCCGCTGCAGCCATGCGATGGAATGCTGGAAAGCTATAAAACCTAAACCATACCAATAAATACACACACGCACATTCGCAGGAAAAAGATGAGCCCGCCACGTTTCTGGACTCGCGCAGGCCCAAGTCCGAAGCCGAGTTCGAACCCGAGACCGAGCCTGAACCCGCGCCCGACTCCCTGACCCAACCCGGAGTCCGCGTTCCAGAGCAAGCAAGCAAGCAAAATCACTCCCACCTTCCCAAAAAAAAAAAAAAAAAAAAAAAAACAATCAAATCCCACCTAAACCACACAAGCCCCGACGAGGAGAACAGTGCACCGGCCGTCCGGATCAGACCAGACCTACGTTACGACCAGGTCGGCGCAAGCGACGGCCCAGCAACCGCCGATTGGATAAATACCATGCATCCAGACGGACAAGATTCCGAAAGGAAAATAAAATTTGAATTGGCGTTTTCCAAAACGCCGCGAGGCAAAAATCAAAAACCGACAACGTCTGCTGCCGTCTCGTCTGCTGCACCTCTTCTCGTTCATTTCATGATACCTCTCTACCTCTCTCTCTCTCTCTCTCTCTCTCTCTCTCTCTCTCTCTCTCTCTCTCTCGAGCGCGCGCGCGCGCGCTGCGTGCGAATGTTTTGTGTAGGCGTGCGCGCGGGGCGCCCTGCGTCTGGGCCTCCTAACTGCATCTGCCAAGCGCGCGCGCGCGCGCGCTGCGTGCGAATGTTTTGTGTAGGCGTGCGCGCGGGGCGCCCTGCGGCTGGGCCTTGTTGCTGCATCTGCCGCCGCTTCAGCAGAGAGGTTGCGCTCCTCAGATTTCGATATCGATTTCGATATCAGTTTTTTTTTTTCCCCCTCCCTATTTGTTGAATAATCGAGATTTTGTTTTCTTTTTTGTTGATCTGACATGCTCTCCCATTTTACCCCTTTCGTCGCTGCTGCCCACGCTGCTGCTGCTGCTGCTGCTGCTGCCGCATCTGCACCTCCTGTCGTCCTGCTCCTGCCCCAGCTGTCCTCCTCCGACCTCCAATTCCCGCCCTCCTCGTACGTACTACTGTAGTCGCGCGTCACTACGGTGGTAGTCATTCATTACACTCACAGACGGGAACCACCACAGCTTTTTAACGAAACGGTTTTGCATTTTGCGGGCTCCCTCTCACAGTCATCAATTCAATTCTCGGTGTGCGTGTGTCACTGTGGTGTGTTTGCTGCTCCGCGAGCTCGTAGTATACTAAGCACGTAATTGCACTTCTCGCCATCCGCCAAGATTTTGAACGCAACTGGACCGATCGTGCGACCGTATGCATTCAAAATGTTGGCGGACGGCGAGTTAGGCACTAACATAGCATCGACGGCCAAGACTTCGCCAGGCCATGTTTTTCCCTCTTCAACACCCGAATCCCGCCGGCGCTATGTCGAACCTACTGGTAGCGGTAGTCTCTCCGGTGGCCGCAGTGCTATGTTTGTGCCAAACGGGGATTCGAACTGAGGTTCTGTGTACTGACAGTTGCTTATCTGTACCGTTCATTCAGCGCCACGGGCTTTGTCTTTTCTTTCCGATGGTGGTAGCCCCTAACTTTCTTGTGTTCGTCTGGTCCCGTTGAGATTCGAACACACGCTCTCTTTTCGGACTGTTGCTTATCTGCACCGTTCATTTCATTCAGCGCCAGGGCCTGCCCGGCCTGGGTAACTGCCCAGGTTGTTGTAGAGGTGGGATAGGGCCTCGCCACACCTATCCCGAAAACACCGATTTGGAGAGAAGAAGCATCGCCATACCAACTCTCCAAAATCGGTGTCAGAAAAAAATTGGAGAGTGGCCAGAACGCGGGTTTCGGGAGTGCTCTCAAAGTTTGTGGATCGCCCCGCCTGCAACACACCGGTTTTGAGGAGTGGTCCGAGGCTCCTCTGGTTTCGCCCCCAAATTGGAGAGTGCGCCTCGACCGACAAATGTCTGCTGCCACCGTTTTGTCTGGGTTCGCCACACCACTCTCGAAATGTGAAAAAGACAAAAAATGTGGCGGGTGCATCTGGCCATGTTCTAGCGGGAAGTTCATTCTCATTTTGCACATTTCGAGAGTGGTGTGGCGAGGCCCGT